AATGAATGCCTCATTTTTTATCATACAAGCCCATGGTCTGAATCATAGTCTGGTCTGTAAAAAACTGAGTGTGGAAATGATCCTATCAGTGTTTTCTGTCATATTCACAGTCCGTTATGGCCAATTTCATATTTGAAAATTAGTATATTTCATGTTTTCAGCTTTTTAAGCCTGAAATATCACTGTGTTTTAACCGTGGGGTCCAGACCCAAAAGGAGATATGGGGAAGGGGTCACAAACCTGTTGTGGGTCATTCATGGGATTGCCACCTTCACTTTTCTTCTGCCTTCAGAGTTTCCTGCAGTGCAAAAGGTTCCAGAAGGTACAGGTGGTCCTGCTGGGACCATCCCAGCTGGGGGCTTCTAGCTGCTAGTCCTGGCTGGCTTGGGAGAGAAATACTTGTTCTCTCTCTGCGTACCCTCTGCTCCATACTCGCTTCTTGACCCTGTCCTTCCCCTGCCTGATTGGAGTTGAAGTCCCCTCTGAGGGGGCATTCCCAGCAACAAGGGTAAAAGACTATGGGTATGTCTACACTACCACCCTAGTTTGAACTAGGGTGGTTAATGTAGGCAACCAAAGTTGCAAATGAAGCCCGGGATTTAAATATCCCGGGCTTCATTTGCATCTTGCTGGGCGCCGCCATTTTTAAAGCCCCGGTAGTTCAGACTCCGTGCCTGCGGCTACACGCGGCACAGAGTAGGTAGTTCGAATTAGGCTAATTCGAACTACCGTTACTCAAGTAGAAAGCCTAATTCGAACTACCTACTCCGTGCCTCGTGTAGCCGCAGGCACGGAGTCCGAACTACCGGGGCTTTAAAAATGGCGGCGCCTGGCAAGATGCAAATGAAGCCCGGGATATTTAAATCCCGGGCTTCATTTGCAACTTCGGTTGCCTACATTAACCACCCTTGTTTGAACTAGGGTGGTAGTGTAGACATACCCTATCTAACTCCACAAGTCTCCTCCAGCTGCAGAAACTTGAGGCTGCTGCCCAATCCCAGGCAGTACCCTGCAATAGGGGGAGGCACCAAGTGGTGAGTTTGTTCTGGTCCCACCCCCAGAGCAGTTTGCAGGAGAGGAATAGGTCCTATCCCTCCCCTGCCCATTTGGAACTAGGAAGCCCCCATTTGATGGGATGCTCTTCAGAACATTTTTAATGGCTGTGAAATTGGTAAAGCCCTTTCTATGGGTAACTATTAAATACCAGATCCACATTACTTAACAATGGTGATCACTTTCGAAGGATGTGTTAGCAATGCGCAGCCCTCAGTGGCTGCAGAGTTACAGTTGTCTTAAGTTTTCCCACTTCATGGTGGCAACTGTAGAGAAGCCACATCATGTGGCCAGAGCTGCTTCTAACTTTGAAGGATCCAGTGGATAGAGTCACAGTCCTGGTGCTAGGTGCCTGATGACACTAATGTGTAGAAGACTGAAGAGAGACTTTTTCTGACTCATAGGAAAACATGGCCTACACACTGGCAGAGCCATCTACTGAAGATTTTAGAAATAGAATATGTTCAGATGTGGCAAGGAAACATTTGATCGCAGTTACAAATGAGATTTTGACTGAAAAACACTTTCACATTTGCGACCATCTTATTTTCTTTTAATGTGCCACAAAATTGTTTAATGAACCTTGCATAGCTAGCACGCATGAGTGGGTCTGGTTAAAGAGGAAGTGCAAATTGCGTAACTTATTCCGAGTAAGTCGAAAGAGCTTATTTTGAAATTTGGCGCTGTGGAGACAGCACCAGATTTCAAAATAAGGCACTATTCCAACAAATCCCTTAACTCTCGTGGAATGAGGATTACAGGGATGCTGGAATGGTGGGTGTTTTTAAAAAGACGCGGAGTAGCTATTTTGGGATACTTCTGGTATTCTGAAATAGCAACACAATCTAGACATACCTAGCTCTGTCAGTAAAGGTGGTCATTCTATGGACACTGAACTAGTTTTCTTGGTATGTAGTAAGTTGAGGGTCAGTAACATGGAGTCAGCAGGCCTAAATAGAGGCCTGTAACATGAAAACAGCAAGAGGCCTGCAATCTAGTGAGCAAGACTTTGGTTCAGTAACAGGAGCCAAGAAAGAAGCCCTATTGATAACTGTGTGATTGTGTAAGTTAGGTCGAGCATGGAAGGACACAGGGAGGCACTGGGTACAGACTGTAAGCCAAACGGGAGTAACGGAACATCTTAATAAGAAATGTCTTGGCACAAAGACTCCCTAAAAACTAATGCACATACTGACCTAGGTTCAGGACCAGGTCGAGATTGACAGCATGAAGGATAGTAAGTAAACCCCCCTTCCGTAAGGTGAGGGTTGGTAACTAGGCAACTGAGGGTGGTAACCTGGTACGTAAAGAAATGATGTAAGTTGTTTGTACCTGTCTATAAAAGGACATCGCAGAGGGTGCTCTCCGGCCGACCTTGGGGGGAGGGGGAAGGGGAGTGCACACTAGGTGCCTGAACGGCAGGTGTCATTGCCTAAACTTACAGAATGCACAGTAGCTTAACATTGACTAACTGCTGTTAATATCTGTTATATGGCAATAGGCCTGCCCGATGTTGGTACCTTGTCAACGCAGGCCATAGTGCCCAGTGGTGTAACATTGTACTGATCTCTGTTACCAACTGGTAGAGTTTCGCATTTGACAATAAACTTGCTCGATTGATTTCAAACCTTGCCTGCATCTGTCGTTTCCGGGGCCTCTCAGAGATCTCTTGTGTTGACCCAAGTGCACGGCATCTAGCACTCTAGATAAAGGGAATACGGATTGTTACGCACGCAGCTGAAAGTTTATCACCACCAATGGAGTAGAAGTCCTGTCAGGAGCGCGCCAAGACAACCCTGACCAGACGGCGCTGACACTGACAGTCCAGACCACCAAAGGTACTGAGGTACAAAAACACCGAGGTACGACACCAGTGAACAGTCACCTCACATTCCAACACACAAGTTTGCTGGTCACCCTCTTCATTTCTGAACCTTAAAATGTCTAGGCAGACAAACTGGACCTAGTGTTATTGGTTTTTATTCAAAGGGGTATCTGGCATAACTCCACCCACTCAGGGAATGGAGGGATCCCTGGTTTAGCTGCTGAGCACTCAACAGGTTATACTGCACACATGGCACCAGTAGCAGGCCTTACATGCTTCATTTAACATTAAGTGTTCAGGGGAAAGAATTATAGGTTACATTTGGCTTAAAGTATGTCTAGACTATGGCTGGGAGTAGGCATCCCAATTCAAGTAGACACACTCTGTGGTACACACAACACTAACTCTGCTCATGTTCTCTCACTAAAATAGCAATATAGCTTGGGGGTAGCACAGGTGCCACTTCAGGATAGCCACCTGAGTACATACGCACTCAGCACCCTTGGCTATGTGCTCACATGGATAGTCTGAGCCATTTCAGTTATTTGGCTATACTGTTATTTAATTTTAATCGGAGCTAAAGCACGTCTGCCTACTTGTGCTGGGATGCCTGTTCCCATTTAAAGACTAAAGCAGGGGGTTATGATATTAAAAAAATACAGACCTGCAATTTGGCTCAAATTCATATTTAGCTCCCTAAATAAGTGGCCCAATTTTCAGAGGCAGTGAGGTCACAAGCAGCTTCCCTTCACGACAGGAGGAGCTGCTGGGTTCTCAGCCCTGCTGAAAAACAAGCCACTTATTTAGGAACCTAACTTTAGCTTATGTTTGAAAATTGTGGCTTACAAATTCAGGAGCTATTTCTCAAAAAAAAATAAAGATGGCAACAGACTAAGAGCAGACAAAAACAAGGCTAATTTGCCTTCAAGGGGAAAAAGAAATATTTTGAACTAGAGAAAGTATGCTAAGATATTGTCATAATGATGCAGAAAAGAGTAAAGACACCTGCCACAAAATCACTACAAGTAGACAACCTGAGGGACATCTCGTACCCAGGAAAATTAAGAAGGCAAAGAGAATCTGGGAAGACTGTAGAATAGGTTCTGTAAAAGCGGATAGTGGTTTCCAGTCTTGACGATGAATCTAAGCAAAAATGCTTGTAAATGCATCCAGAGAAGACAACGTAGCTGTTTTTCAAATACCCTGATTTTAGCAAATCTGGAGCCATTCAGGTCATGTCAACTTGGTTCAGATCTGACCTTTAAGATGCAGATCTGCTAGGCTGTAGAAATGAGGGATGCAGTCAGACAGTCAGATATGGGTCCCTCATGGTAACATATTGTTATCAGAAGAATAAAAGCTAGGTGAATTTAAAAGGCTTTAGTTTGCTCCAGTAAACAGCCTACTGACCTTTTCACATCAAGTTTGTAGAGAAAAGCCTCAACGCTGCGAGCATACTGATCTGAGGGAAATATTATCAACATGATTACTGGCTCATTAATGTGGACTTCTGTAAATGACTCTGATAGGAATTTAGTATTTGTTCATTATATATTATCCTTGTAAGACAGAACATAAGGTAGATCAATCAGTCAAAAAAAAGTTTAAATTTGCAAGCTTTAACTAATTACATCAGGAACAATAAGACTTTCCACAAGAGGAACATGAGTACATTTATATTGAGTAGCTCAAAAACTGCTTTCATCAACTCCACATACATTTGATATCAACTGGCAACAAATAACCTCATCTTTTTTAATTCATGATAGGCCAAAATAGATGGTGAATGAAAATTTAGGAAATAAGCTCCAAGTTGCCTGGTGACCTAAATGTGGATTTAGAAATCTACTGTACACATGGACAGATTTTTAAATGTTGGAAGCTAAGTCTCAATGAAAAATGCAGCTGCTAAGCATATTGGAAATACATAAGCAACCTGACTGCATACCTAAAATGGGTTTAAGTACCAGTGCATCATTTCTTCCTCATTGTAGTAATTTTTCATTTCAATTATATCATTGTTTTCCAATGAATGAATGAATATGAACAGACTGAAAATGGAAATCAAACACAAATGAAAGCATTTCCATGAAAAAAATAAGTTTGAGTAAGCATTAGCCAAACAAAAACTATTTTATTGCAACATTGTCCCAATACCAACATATGTCAAAGACAACTGATGCATTTTGCATTTCTACCTTTTTATTTAATGTAAATGTAAATTCAACAGTGTAAAATAAATCCACATATAAACAGAAAAGAAACCATTTCAGTGACTCCCATAAAGATACATACTGAATAATCATGGCAAATCATCCATTGTCTATTTTATCAAGTATACAATAGAGTGAAAAACAATGCAAAAAGTCATTCTTCGAAAGCATCCTTTATAAAGGTCTCAATGAAAAGATGTAAAATTATATTTAGTAACTTCGAACTCTTGAACATATGGATGCTGATTCTGGAAAAATAACACAAAGTTCTCAGGCTACCTGGAAAGTATAACATCTTGATTTTTAGATTATTTAAACTGAAATTCCATCTAAAACAAAATATTTAATGAAAGATAGTTCCAATAGCTAAGCCATTGCAAATACTCCAGTATATCATATTATAGGAAAATAGCTAAACTATCTCTTACCAGTTTTTCTTATTGTGAAAATAAGGTCAGAAAAATAAAAGCAAGGTTTTTCTTTTTTTAATTTATTCATGCTGAGACTTTGCTGTGGAAAAAAAAATCCATGCACTGGTACAATAGGCCTTTCATCAAGATGCCTTTTCAACATTACTAAGACATACTTTTAAAAATGGTAAATGAGGCATGAAATGCACCATCAAAAAATCAGTGTCCAATCTGTAGCAGGACTATACATTATCTCACTGTTGAAGTTGGACACAATGTTTAATTTGTTAATGAGTATTGGAAAACTCATTATGAGTATTTGATAGCCAGATATTAATTGCACTGGTGAGGATTTTATCTTATGTTTAGGTTAAATGGCTGATGGATTTAATAATGAGTATTACCACAAAAGTAAACATATTGCGCAGAATTTTTTTTTCTAAGAGGAATGTTTTCCATTAGGTCCAACAAACAGATGTTTCCAATAAAAGTGGCTTTAACTGAATATCATGCCTAGTTCGTAAACTGCATTCTCCATCATGGCTATGCTACAATACACTCAAAATATTAAGTGGGCAAAAATGAACAAAGCACTCCATCAAGCCAAGAAGAAAACTGCAAGCAACTTCACCAAATGGGAGGAAAGAGGTGGAGGGGAAAATATTCAAAGGAGAACTCAGTGGGTCCCAAAGTTTAAACTGCTACTCTCAATTTCCAACAGATAGATATAAACAACTGTGAATATTTATGCACTAAAAAGAGATGTGTTCAGAAACAAATGTAGGGCCAGCACAATTCTGCCTTCTCAGAAAATATGTAGATGAAATAGAAAATCCACTTACTAAAGTGCATTTGCTGAACAAAATCTACTATTACAGCTATCCAAGTAAGCAAGACAAGCTATTCATATTCTATTCTATTAAAGTAGTAAATATAAATCATTTTAATTCTAAATTACAATCTTTGTTACCAAATATTGTGTCAACACTGTGATTTTAGAAATTGTCTTAAAATCCTTGAGAATGAAGAAATGTCTCTATTTATAAATACTGAAAATGTAATACGGAGTTAAACAAAAAGGGTTATATTAAGGTGTGTGGGGTTTTTTGTGTTTGTTTTGTTTTGTTTGGATTTTTTTTGTTTTTTGTTTTGTTTTTTGCTTTATATTCAACATGATATTCCCTTAAGGCTCTGAGAGAAATGGTCACTTTCCTCAAGATCTTTTGGCAAAAGATATAAATACAAAAGTAGCAGGGCCACCTGACATTTCAGAACTTGCATTTTTGTCTTTCATTAAAGCCAACTCATTCTTGCCTGTATACAGTTATTGCACTTGTGTATTTCTTGGAATACATTTATATCAACACAGTAATAATGACTGCAACAATGTCATGGTAAAATAAATGTTTTAAAGGGTACAGTTTCAAGATTATATGAGAAATGCTTGTGTTGTATGTTTAAAACCTTATGCAGACAACTGTTATTCAAGTCAGAATGCATTTGTTCAACAGCTATTTTAGCACATATAAAATTTCACTTACCCTTCTATCAATACAAATCTGTTAAAGATCAAAAAGGATTTACCATGCCAAGTCTTGATTAATGCTGCATACTGCTTTGGAATATTTTTCTATCAGAGTTAAAATTGTATTTCTCAAAATTTAAAGAAAAATAATTTTTTTAAAAAGGGATTCTGTACTACTGAATACAAGTCTTTGTAGCAAAGTTAAGACAGAAGTTACAATTTATCACTGTACTTCCGTCTTGTTGAAAGACTAATGATATATGTCCATCTATTTCTTAATAAATGCTACATTTTTCAAGAATAAAGGAGCTATCAGTAGGCATTGTTTCTACTTAAAACAAGTTACTTCTCTCTGTAGTATGTCAAGTATGCTTTTAAAGAATCAGGTAACGGTAGACTCATAATTTTTTCTCTCAATAAGTTTCGAGGAGGCTCCTCTGGCTTCAAGGCTTCATTGTGATCTTTATCATCATCATCTTTGTTGTCTTCCTCCATCTTTTCATCCTCTTCACTGTCTAGAGGCTGTGGAATGAGCTGATTGCCTACAAACACATAAGTGTTAATCCTGTGTCTACGGCACCTCCTGCGTTTTCGTTTTGGTGGCGGTTTTTGAGGGATACCCTTGGCTTGCATCTCATCATTTATGAAGTTTCTAAGAGTGCGTCTAATGTAGATCCGAGCTAAGTCCTGTAGATTCCGAACAGCACAAGGGGCTAAAACAAAAAAGAAAAATGATACATGGCCTATTAGTGAAATTGTTATTTTCTAAAAGAAACTTCTACAGAAAATTAAAGTATGATACTGAACAGCAAAGTGAAGACTTAATATATACACATATAAAAGGCAAAGTTTAGCAATCTTTGACAAACCATGCATCAAATCAGTAAACTTGTGTGAGCTGAACTTAATTATGGTTTTCATGAGTGCAGCGTACCTAGAGAGAGTTTGCATCTAAGTTGATGTGCTCAGATAGCCAAGCAGAATTTCATTGACTCCACACAGACAGCAGGAGGAAATAGAAGCCCTTTCCTTCATGACTAGGGTGCCACTACATGCCTAGAGCAATGGCTCCTACTCCTGGGATTAGAGAAGGACCAGGTTTTTGATCTGCTGTGTGCAGTGCACTTGTTGCTTTTTTAGGACAGGAAAGGAATTTTTCTTATGCTGTCAGATTGGTTTAGATAGGTGATTTCTTCCCCCTCCTCCGCTTTCCCCACAGCTCTTCAGTGACCTCCCCAGTGGGTTGGGAGGTAAAGTTCACCCTGTCCCAGCTTGATGGGTACCCAGTAAAGGTATTATTCGATAAAAGTCCTGCTTCCCTGATGAACCAGAACTGAAATTGGAGTTATGGAAAGGCCTTCCCTAAAAAAAGGAGAGAAGGAGCTCCAGATGTCTTCTCTCTGTATCAGATAACCTCTTTTCCCTCAATTCTTGTACAAGGGGAGGAATGTGGGTTCCCAGCAATAGTTTTGGGACAGCTCAGGAGTGGATGGGATAGAGAAGATGGCAGTTCTCTCTTCTATCAAGGCAGAACACATTATGAAAGAAAGTATGATCTGCACTGGACAAGTTATGGATGGATAGCTTCAACTTTATTTAATTCAATCTGGAAATGAGTTAAACCACATCCCTTATGCCCTGTCTTTCTTCCTGCACAGCTCGGACAACACAACACAAATAGAAAAGTTTCAGGTATGGAAAAATAATATGGGGAAGAGGCAATGTTGATTAAAAAAAAAAGAACATGTTTCTATATGCTCCCAATACTGGATTTAAAAAAAAAAAAATCAAGCAGCCAGATACATTTCAAAGCCACTTCCTCCAATATTTAGAGATGCAAATGGAGGCTTCAATTGTATGCTAAAAATGGAATTGAAAAGCATAATATTTACGATATTCTAGTATTAGCAGCAAAGATTTTAGTCGAATATCTGGAAATTTCAATGCCAAATCTTCTAAAAACCCTCTAAGCATTTTAAAAGAACAAAACCAATAACAATCTTTTAAAAGATGCATTTGTTAAATCGCAAGCTTATTAAGCCCTGCTTTCAGGCTACATTAATAGAGTTGTAAACAAACTATAAAAGATTTGGTGGATAAAGAATATGAACTAGAGACATTCTTACCATAAATGGGACTAAAAATTTAGAGAGCCCTACACAAATCATAGGAGAAATGAACTATTAGATAAAATACTGAAACAAATGTCAAAGGTCCCAAGAGAAATATACAAGCCAATGAGCTCTCAGCCTTCTTTCTCCATAAAATTAGTAGGATGAAACAACACCTAAAATCAAAATCATCCAATCCCAAATACACAAAATCAGATATTTTATTATTTCTGCTAGTAGATATACACAAATTATAATAATCCCTTCGATTTCCCAGAGGAAATAAAGATATTTGTAAGGTCCTGAGGATTTAAAGAATGTTCCTTCAATCATATCAGCAATCATTTATCTTAATTATCACCTATGAGTGGTAGAGCTTTACAGACAGGCATATGTGTTAGTAAGATAAATACATTATCCCTCATGATTCCATGCCAATAGATTTTTTAGCTCCAACTACTTTAATGCAAAAAGGGGAAGTCACCAAGTTTTACAGTTTTGCAGACTCAGTTTGCTACACTAAATGTAGATTACAAACTCCTTTGCAAAGATTTATTTAAAGGTGTGGAACACTGATTGTGCACTTGAATTTAGTTTATAAGAGGTCAGTAAATCAGTTAACACCAAGCACCCACATAACATTTTGGCTTTTAGAAATTCAACTGTAGATAAGAGAGTCAGACCCTAAATAAGCTTTCGATGCTGAGAAAATGTATGGCTGGCTCAAATGGGAGCTTGTTTTTAAAGCTTAAATCCTAGCAATAATGGACTTTGAAGTTGTATAAGAAAAAAATGATACACCATAATCATTTTCACTTAAAGGTATTTCTTCTATAGACATTTGAAAGGAGGAAGTTATTTACCATTAACTGGAGGTTCTTTTTGATGTGTGGTCCCTGTTAACAAAATACAGGACTATGTAGCACTTTAAAGACTAACAAGATGGTTTATTAGATGATGAGCTACATTAAAGTGCTACATATTTTGTTTCAGCTACACCAGACTAATACGGCTACATTTCTATCACTGGTCCCTGTTAGTATTCCAAACGTTCTTGTGTACACGTTCCACGCACTGGAAAGTTTTCTTAGCAGCCTCTTTTGATTTGCATGTTCAACCCTCGTGCTCATAGGCAAGGGTTATACAGATTAGTGCTTCTCCTGTGTCTTCCTTACCACTAAATAGTTCAGCAAGCAAGAGGGGATGGCGGGTGGGTAATGGAATACAAATAGGTACTACACATCTTAAAGAGGCTGCAATTACAGATAGTTTACCTCCTCTTCTTTGAGTGATGGTTCCAGTATATATTCCAAATGTGGGTGAGTAGAAAGCAGTGATCAACATAGAGGTGTATGTGAGAGGAAGTAGAATTTGTAGTACAGCAGGGCCCACAGTGCCATCTATAGCCAATGCTTGGATGATGACATTATGGGATGTGAATATGTGGATGGAGCATCATGTTGCCATGAAACCTCCGCTAGGCAGCCCAAAGTGGCTGCCTGCACTCACTAGCATAGAGTGTGCTGTGACTCCATCAGGCAGGAGGTATATTGGATAACATGGAGCATTTGCAGCTGCACCCGGAGATCTAATTGGAGATTCATTGGGAGGATAGGGATTCACTCTAGGATCAGTCAACAACTGCTACAAATAGTTTTGGTACTGTGCAAACGAAACAGGCTAGAAGACTGTAGAATGCAGTGCACAGGTGATGTTGAAGGACTCTGTCCACATGGGAGGCATATGGCTTGGGGCTGAACATAGGCACTGATATAGGTGGAACTCTGACATTTTAGGAGGAATTTAGGGTGTAGCCATAAGGAAACTTTATCATTGTGGAACACAGTGAGAGTAGGGCGGCTCAGGCATCTTGACCACAAGTTATGGTCCCTATTACCAAATGGTTCATCTATGTTCATCTCAAAGCTATATATTTTATCTTACATATACCACCAGATGTTATCCCAGTAAGACTGGGGTCTTTTACAAAGGGTTTTGAAAGATGGGAAGCGTTATATTGTATAAGAGTACTAGTTACTATTCCATTCTCATGATCTTTAAGCCAGAGAAACAACCTTACTTCATTGTAAGGAAGAATAAAGCTAGACATACTCAGACCTGAGCCAAATTAGTAGTCAATGTTACCCCCAAAGAGCCACAACACACTGTGAACAAGAGGGGAAATATTTTATACAGCAAATAAATAACTTAATGTAAGTTGGTAACTTAATTCATTAATAAGATTGTAAAGGCATCCTGATTGGTTGTTAATTAAATTACACACTGTTTTACTATAATGTGCTGCAAAGAGCCACTTGCAGTTTGAGAGCCAGTCAGAGTATCACTTTTCTCACCTTCCAAATTGGCTTAGATAAGTGCAGCTTATCTACATACTCTCACTGTATCCGAACGGGCACATCAAGCTCTCCTCTTGTAGCATGTGTTTTCCATAATAATATATAAAACATACTTATCAGTAACTACCTGTCCCATTCATTGATTATGTCTCTTCTCTTGCTCCTTTTATAAATCGAGCAACTTAAAATTTAAAACGATGCCTTTTTATGGCAATATATATATTTTTAAAAATGTTCAAATGTTGCTCTGTACTGATTTTATTTACTGTGACTCAAAATTATATTGGGCAAACACCACTTGTTTAAAAATTGGTAACTATAAATTGCAATTTTTTTAAGTCTATTTAAAAAAAAAAATCTTTTCTGCTCATGACACTGCTTCCTTTAAAAGTATCTGGAAAATGAGAAGAAGCTTTCCTCTCTTCCTGTACCTCTAGGCAGGAAAGAGGATTTGAACAAAATGTATTTATATTATGAGAACTGAAGCAGAGTTGCAGAAAGAGCCTGTCACGTTACTGAATTTTAGGGAAACAGACAGATCACTGCTGCACCCATGGGGGGAGGGGGGAGGAAGGTGTTGGCCCCAAATGTGGGACAATGGGGGCCATGTGAGGTGTTGAATAGAATCTGCTTACTTCCTTCTGATTCTATATATGCTATTCATGTAATTGTATAATGTCTGTGTGAGAAGTTATAAGCATGTACTTTGTATGGGTACTGAATGTTTCTCTGTATGTGGTTGAGCAATGAGCAGAGCTTGGCCTATGGACATGCTAATGAGCAAGTCTCTATGGAACAATAGCCCTCCACAGGCCAAGGATACACCTCAAGAATGGGGAGTGATACCAAAGGGCTACCAGCAGGGAACACAGGGATAGGCCGCTGGCCAGGTGACCTGCCAAGAAGAGATGGGGAAGAAGGTATAAATATGCCATGTGGATGACTCCACCTTGGTAGTCAGCTCAGCTCTTCATCCCAGAAGCAGCAGTACAGGGATCAAAGAGCCGGAAAGAACTGTGGACCTGTCCTGACATAGGATGTACATCAAAGACTTTTAAGCCAGCAGTTATAACATCTCTGCTAGAAGCCTGCATCGAGAACTGGGAGATTCAATGCATGTAATGTATGATACTTTAACAACCTTACTCTCATGCTTCTCTTTCTGGTAGTAATAAACCTTTAGATGTTAGATTCTACAGGATTCGCTCAGCATGATTTGTGGGCAAGGTCCAGAGGGTAAATTGACCTGGGATCTGAGACTGGTTTCTTGGAACTGGACAGAACTTGTTCGGGGTAGGTGAGATTGGGCTCTAAGACCTCTCACCTGTGTATGAGACCCAGGGCTATCTGTGGCACAGATATTGCTAGGGTGTCGGAGGGGTTCTGTTTGTGAGGCTTCAGGCAGGCAGCTGAAGCGCTGTGTGGGACTGGTTTGTGGCCTATTTGGGAAGGTTTCCAGTCTGGGGGCTGTAAGGAGCCCCGAATTTGAGCAATTCACCCTGAGCAGACACCCTCAGCTGTGCCCAGACCCGGCCCGGTCCGTCACAAAGCCTTACCATCCAGGGCAGGGGTGGGGAACCAAAGACTTGAGGGCCGAATCTGGCCCCAGGCTTGCCTGGATCCCACTTCCTAGGCTGAGGGCTTCCTCCCTCTTCCCCCTTCCCCTGCAACAGGGAGCCTGTGTCCCTTCCCCACTTCCCCAGAGGGAAGCTGGTGTAAGGAGAAGAGAACCTGAGCCTCATGGGCCAGTCAGGCCAGCCAGAGGCTGGATCTGACCCATTGGCACTGCCTCACAGGGGGAAGAAGAGATTCTGCGTGCTGCCACACCTTCTCCTCTCCCCAAGGAAATGGAATGGCAGTGCAGCAAAGAACTGGCTAGAGGCTTTTCCCCTGTCACTTCGATTGGCTGTAATCATGGATAATAGGAGCAGTGGAGAGCAGTGCTTGGGAGCGCTAGGGAATGTGGAGCCATGTCCCCAGGGAGTTGTTCCAGGTAAGTGCTCCCCTCCTGCCCAGACACTCCTGCACTCCCTTCCATCTCCAGGCCACTTCTGCACCCTTCCCACCATCCCAGACCCACACACACGGCAACCCCCTCCTACATACTGAACCCCTCATTTTGGGGCCCTATCCCAGAGGCTGTGGGGCCCACAAAATCTACTAGCCTAGGCTCCCGCTAGGCTCTGGTGGGTTAGAGGAATATGGGGAGTGTCTTTTTGCTTCTCAGTCAGGGGTCATGTCAGTGAGATAGGTTTTTATTTCCTTTGGCTTCTCACTTTTGTGAGTTGGCCCCCAACTGATTTTTTTGTGGATCATCAGCCCCCAACCCAAAAAAGGTTCCCCATCCCTGGATCTAGGTAATGTGACTGAATTCGACTGAGCACTCTGGTAAAAAAGATAAAGTAAAGTGTGTAAAAATGGCTGAGCAGAGAAGGGTTAACTGGGCACTTTTGAAAATAACACTAGGAACTTATAAGAATCTTTACACATCTAAATAACTTTAAAAAATCTGGGCCAAAGTGTTGGAATTAGAAAGAAAATCCCAATCCAATTTAATGTTCATTAAGTATGTCCATGTTCCTGAAATAGTCTGTCCACCTTCTCAAAACACAAACTTCAGGGAGGCCCTTCCACTTGGGGGAGAAATCCAATTTATACAATGTTTCACTGCTACCAGAAAGACACACACAGGGTATACATTCACCATTCACTGCAACTTCAAATACAAACAGTGTGTGTTTATTTGTGCTTAGTCAAAGTGAACTTGGCTGACTAGTGGTGACGTCAAGAAGAAGATTTGCAGGCTGTCCACAAGAAAAAGGAGGGAGGCCCAACAGGAAACTTGCTGTATGGCTTTAATTTAAAATATAAAAAATAAACTTTATTGGATTCAGAAAGATTTGTGACTTAGTGATGCTGAACACAAACAAGAAATTTTATATATCAGAACTAAGACTGTTAAAATCAGGCTTATCATATAGTCGGTACAATTTGTATCGACTATACGATTAGTCGACAGGACCACTCGGCAGACCCCCAGAGAAGGTAGATCAAGGAGCAGGCTCAAGTTGGGACTGAGCAGTCCCATCCCATGTTGGCTCTGGAAGTCACACCCACTGCAGCGCTGCATTTTAAATGTAGTAAGAACATTCAGGCTCTTACTACATTTAAAATGCAAAGGTGCAGAGATCAGCATGAGCCAGGAATACTAGGATCCTGGCTCCCATTGAGTCCAGCAGTCCCTGTTTGCGGCGGACCCCCCCCCCCTGCCACAAACAGGGGCTGGTGCTGGAGCAGCCTCTGTTCACGGTGGCCAGGGCTGCTCTTGGGCAAGGGGCTGATGCCGGAGTAGCCTCTGTTTGCAATGGAGAAGGCTGGCTGCCACAAACAGAGGCTGGGCTGGCAACAAAACGGTGTGGCTGCAGGGAGTAGCCCCTGCCCAAGGCCAGCCCTGGCTGCAACTAACAGGGGCTGCATGGCAGCAGTAGCCCCTGTCCTCAGGGTGGGGCCCAGCTTCCCACTGGGAACCTTGCAGACAGGGGCTGCTTTTCAGCAGCCTCCCCTATCCTCCCCTTCTACCACTGATAGAGGCAGCAGGCAGCACCCCAGAGAAAGTGCTGGGGAGAATTGGCTTTCAAGCCGGCTCCCCTCAGGACCAAGTCCTGTTCCTGCCCCTTGCCTTTTACTGGGGCAGCAAGGGGAGGGTATCACAGGGAGAACAGGGCCAGCAGGGACTCAAGCAGACCTCTGCTGATGCCAGTTCCCATTGCAGCTGTTTGAGCCTTTGAAACAGAAAAGAGCCCAGTAGGGGCTTGTGCATTTCAAAGTCTGAAGCTGCTGTAGTGGAAATGGCTTCTTCAGTCCCTGCTCGCACCACTTCCCCGCTGTGCCCCTGTCTACCCCCCAGGGACATGGTGCTGCTGTCTTCCCCCAACACCAGCTCCTGCTTCCCCACCTCCCTGCCTCTCTCTGATAGAGGAATCAAGGGGGGGCAGGGGAGCAACTAGTCAAGTCACTACTCAACTATCTGATAAGTTAATGCTTATCGGATCACTGATTAGTCACTTACATCCCAGATCAGAACCAGAGAGACTCACAGCTTTTCTGTTGCACTATGTGCAGGAATACCAGCTCAGTTACAACAAACTAGATGTGCCAAAAAGCCACAACCAGATGATACTCACGCAGTCCCACGGTATCACGTTTGCTGTTGTCATTCCTGTTGGGTTGTATTAGTGGAGCAAATGAAACAGCAAGAATGTTTTTACTTTCCCAAGTGTTCTGTCCTGTTCGCAGAATTTGTGTTAGCTGAATGAAAAAAAACCAACAAAAATATTAAGACAAAGTTCAGCAGTTAAATAAATGGTTTCATTTGCTTTTTTTTTTTTTTTTTTACACCCACCATTCTTCAATTTGAAATAGTTTACAACATTGCCATTTTAATTTGCTTCAAATGTTCTCCTGCCAAAGCTGAATTTTATATACATTTCCATTTTGTTATGCTCTGAAAAAAGTAAAAGTGTTAGCATGTATTTATGCTTTATTAACAATGCCCTTCTGGTAACTTTTTTTTCAAAGTTCAAATATTCAAATTATTTACATTTAATATTAATGTACACTAACTAAGAGAGCAGGGCGAGATTTAGAAAGATTTAGTACAGTTTCATCTTTGTTTGCATGATCATAATTGAAAATCCTCAGCTGCCTAGTCACATTCTATATCTAACCATCAGATTACTGAGCAGATAACTACACATCTCTCTCTGCTAGGTATTGTTAAAGATGTTTTATTGGTGTCTGAAAAATAGGAGAAATGAGCACACAACTCTATTATTAAGTTAACCTAGCAGAGCTTTCTTTGGCACTAGTCCAGACTGAATGCAGCAAGTCCAAGATCATGATAATTCTCACGGTCTCCAGTATTCATAATTATTAGCAGAGTGTATTTATATAAATCTGTAATCTTCCACTTAAATATATCTATATAAAGAATATTTACTCAGTAAAACATGATATTCCTATTAATTTAGAAAACATCCAATTATGCTACCTATTGATATATTTTAATTATACACATTTTTAAAAAATGTTTTGTTGTTGCTTATGATGAAGCTATGCAGCTTCCATATGGAAACTTCATAAGTGAGAACTGTTAATTAAGTACTAACACGCATACTAGTCATTAGTTCAAACATTTCAATAAAAAGTTGTCTACAGAGGGACAGCAACTTCAACTATAGAGGGGATGTCACTTCAACCCTCTGCCCTAGTATCCCCCATCAGTAAACTGGAGATAATGATGCTTACTTTCTGTCTGAAAAGCTCTGAGATCTATTGATAAAAATGATAAATAGGTGCTAAATATTTTATTTTATTAAATTACACTTCCGACTGAAAATATTACTACATGTAACAGCTAAAATAACAATACCTGAAAGAAAGCATTAAAAATTCAGTTTTGTTAGTTTTCATACTTTGTGCATTTGGCAGCAGTGGAGATTTTTGCTGTGTTTTCCTTTTATACAATAGGGAAGAGAAAATAATTTTTAAAGAAAATACCAAAGTTTTTTTGTTTGTTTTATAATCAAAGATGTTTTGGAGCAGGTACAGCACATTAAGGTATTTTGGGTGAAATCCTGGCCCCACTGAACTCGATGGGAGTTTTGCTGGCACCAAACATTAAAAAAAACTAAGAGATGGGGGAAAGCTGATTAGTGTGGAGATGCACGTAAATCGGATGGAGACTTCTCTTAGAGGAGAATCTATTGATAGAGATTCTCTAAGCTATAGTCAGAAAGAGAGGAGGGGAGAGGACAAACCATGAGCCAGAGCAGACAAACAACCGCATATAAAGGAATCCAATGAATCAGGGAAGGTCAGACAAATAAGCAGTGGCAAATTTTTAAAGTGCTTCTACAACAAATGCTAGGAGTCTGACTGATAAGATGGGTGAACTAGAGTACCTCGTATTAAAGGAGGAGATTGACATAATAGGCATCACTGAAACCTGGTAGAATGAGGAAAATCTGTGGGACACAATCATACCAGGATATAAAATATATCGGAAGGCTAGAGCAGGTCAGGTGGGTGGCGGAGTGGCACTGTATGTGAAAGATAATGTAGAATCAAATAAAATAAAAATATTAAATGAATCAACATGTTCAATAGAATCCCTATAGATAGTAATTCCATGCTCCAATAATAAGAAATTAGCAGTAGGGATATATTACCGACCACCTGACCAGGACAATGATACTGACATTGAAATGCTGAGGGAGATTAGAGAGGCTACCAAAATAAGAACTCTAAAATCCCCCATTATTATAATTATCCCCATATTGACTGGATACATGTCACTTCAGGAAGAGAGGCAGAGATAAAATTTCTCAATGGCTTAAAAGACTGCTTCTTGGAGGAGCTGGTACAGGAAACCACAAGGGGAGAGGCAATTCTCGATTCAGTCCTGAGTGGAGCGCAGGATCAGGTCCAGGAGATAACAGTTACAGGACCGCTTGGGAATAGTGACCATAATATAATAACATTTAACATTTCTGTAGTGGGAAGAACACCTCAGCAATTCAGCACTCTGGCATTTAATTTCAAAAAGGGGAATTACACAAAAATGAGGAGGTTAGTTAAACAGGAATTAAAAGGCACAATGACTAGAGCCAAATCCCTGCAAGCTGCATGGAAACTTTTTAAAGACACCATAATAGAGGCCCAACTTAAACGTATACCCCAAATTAAAAAACATAGCAAGAGACCTAAAAAAGAGTCACCGTGGCTTAACCACCATGTA